CCAGGAAATAACACATTTGTACAATTTCTTTTTCAGCCATCCAAAGACACTTTCAATCCAAAGTGTGTCTGTGAAATGATACGAAAACTGAGGTTATAGTGTTCGGCCCAAATAATTTTGGTGATTCTCCCCCAGTTGATCTAGGTTACTTGCAGCAGTATGTGCAGTCGACTGTTACAAGCCTGGGTGTCAAAATAGATTCCAATTTTAGATTGGAAGGTCAAGTGAACGCGGTTGTAAGGGCTAACTTTTTTCACCTTCGACAGCTGGCAAAGGTAAAGCCTTTTCTTCCGCAGCAGCACGTTGAGACAGCAATACATGCGTTTATTACGTCTCGCCTGGATTATTGTAATGCGCTCTATTTTGGGCTTAGTCAGACGTCCCTTGCCCGTCTTCAGAGAGTTCAAAATGCTGCTGCTTGTTTACTGGTTGGGGGGCACAAAGGGGAGCATATCACTCCCATTTTGGCTTCTTTTCACTGGTTGCCGGTGTATTTTAGAATCCATTTTAGGATTGTTTTATTTGTTTATAAGTCTTGAAATGGTTTGGCCCCCTCTTATCTTACAGAGTTGTCACATCCCTATCTCGGTGCCTCGGATCAGCTGATCAGCTGCTTCTTGAGATACCGGGGGCTAGGTTGAGACTTAGGGGGGACAGGGCGTTTGCTGTGGGGGCTCCAAAGTTGTGGAATTCATTGCCCCTATATATTAGGCAGGCCCCCTCGTTGTCCGTTTTTAAAGTGTATTTGAAAACTCATCTGTACCTCTTGGCATTTGACCCGGTATGAGGCTTTGTTTTGCTGAGGATTTCTGTTTTATGATGGGTGGTTGTTTAATTGTAATTTTGTTTTATTATTGTGTTTTGTGTTAAGCACTTTGGTCAGCTGTTGCTGTGTTAAATGTGCTATATAAATAAAGTTGATGATGTCTGTTGTGGTGATGGGGAGACATGAAGACACAGCTGCTCTTATGTTCAGACATTCATAGTGTGGAACTCAGGTTTGTCACATGTAAAGTGACAGAAATAGTCATGTGAAGAATGAAAAAAGACCCATAACTTTGTTACCTGTGCACATTTGATCAGACACTGAGTGAGGTGGATGTTTCAGATGTTCATGGTACTTCAAGGCATCTTGCTCCTGGACAGTTCAGCAGCGTTCAGTGAGGGAGGGAGAGAGATACAGTATATTTGTCAGAGCTGTTGTTGCAGCAAAACCCTGAGCTGAGAGCTCCACCCAGCTGCAGACTGTTGGTTCTCAGTGGGACAGCAGGACTAGTAAAGCTTTACCACTACAGGAAGTCATCTGAGTCACATCCAGATATCTCTTGCTGGACCTTTACCTCATGTTTGTCTCTGTGTGCACAGACACAGTGTGAGCTCATTCTTTGTGATTCCTCCACAGAGTGGACCAGCAGAACTCAGAGGGTCCCAGTGTTCACTCTGCCCAGCAGCATCACACAGACCTGGAATCCGTATTTAAGGTCTGTACATGGACAACTCCTACTGTAACACCTGTTCTGTTCACAGTGGTCTCCATGCTACACATTGTAGACCAGTGGATTGTCAGTCTGTCCAACAGGGAGCTGGTGTTTGTCTCCATGGTTTGATCCTGCCATTCATAAAACATTGTGTTTCAGATGCTGGAGGACAACATTGGCAATTTCATCAAGAAAGAGCTGAAGAGGATGCAAAAGCTTCTGAGTCCAGATTACCCAGAAGGCTCAGAGAGTGAGAGGGAGGATAAGGAGGTGTTGGATGGTGAGGATGAAGAGCAGAGGAGGAGCAGCAGAAAGGCATTTCTTGAGATCACAGTGAACTTCTTGAGGAGGATTAAGGAGGAGGAGCTGGCTGACTGTCTGCAGAGCAGTAAGACTATATTTCTATAAAGGGTTAACATCATGGACACAGGAACATTTACTGATGTCTCAAGACAGGGAGCAAAAAAAATTGTATCATGTAGGGGAATTAAACTGTTAACAAATCACTTCATTTTAATTCTTGTGTTTTCATTCAGAACTTGATCTTGCAGTTAGTCGACGAAAACTGAAGTCTAAGCTACAGGAGAAGTTCCAGTGTGTGTTTGAGGGGATTGCTAAAGCAGGAAGCCCAACCCTTCTGAATCAGATTTACACAGAGCTCTACATCACAGAGGGAGAGCCTGGAGAGGTCAATGATCAACACGAGGTCAGACAGATGGAAACAGCATCCAGGAAACCAGTCAGACCAGAAACAACCATCAGACATGAAGACATCTTTAAAGCCCCACCTGGAAGAGATGAACCAATCAGAACAGTGATGACAAAGGGAGTGGCTGGCATTGGGAAAACAGTGTTAACACAGAAGTTCACTCTAGACTGGGCTGAAGGCAAAGCCAACCAGGATATCCAGTTCATATTTCCATTCACTTTCAGAGAGCTGAATTTGCTGAGAGAGAAAAAGTTCAGCTTGGTGGAACTTGTTCAGCACTTCTTTACTGAAACCAAAGGAATCTGCAGGTTTGAGGAGTTCCAGGTCGTCTTCATCTTTGACGGTCTGGATGAGTGTCGGCTTCCTCTGGATTTCCACAGCACTGAGATCTTGACTGATGTCACAGTGTCCACCTCAGTGGATGTGCTGCTGACAAACCTCATCAGGGGGAAGCTGCTTCCCTCTGCTCGCCTCTGGATAACCACAAGACCTGCAGCAGCCAATCAGATCCTTCCTGAGTGTGTGGATATGGTGACAGAGGTCAGAGGGTTCACTGATCCACAGAAGGAAGAATACTTCAGGAAGAGGTTAAAAAATGAGGAGCAGGCCAGCAGGATTATCTCCCACATCAAGAGCTCACGAACCATCCACATCATGTGCCACATCCCAGTCTTCTGTTGGATCACTGCCGGGGTTCTAGAGGATGTGTTGGAAACCAGAGAGGGAGGAGAGCTGCCCAAGACCCTGACTGAGTTGTACATCCACTTCCTGGTGGTTCAGGCCAAACTGAAGAAGGTCAAGTACAATGCAGGAGTGGAGACAGATCCACACTGGAGTCCAGAAAACAGGAACACGATTGAGTCTCTGGGAAAACTGGCTTTTGAGCAGCTGCAGAAAGGCAACCTGATCTTCTATGAGTCAGACCTGACAGAGTATGGCATCAATATCAGAGCAGCCTCAGTGTATTCAGGAGTGTTCACACAGATCTTTAAAGAGGAGAGAGGTCTTTACCAGAACCGGGTGTTCTGCTTTATCCATCTGAGTGTTCAGGAGTTTCTGGCTGCTCTTCATGTCCATCTGACCTTCATCACATCTGGAATCAACCTGCTGGCAGGACAACAAGAGACCTCCCAGAAGTCTGAAACAAGAGAAGATGAATCTGCAGAGACACTGTTCTACCAGAGAGCTGTGGACAAGGCCTTACAGAATCCAAATGGCCACCTGGACTTGTTCCTTCGCTTTCTTCTGGGTCTTTCACTGCAGACCAATCAGACTCTCCTACGAGGCTTGCTGACACAGACAGAAAGTGGCTCAAAGACCAATCAGAAAACGATCCAGTACATCAAGAAAAACATTGGAGAGACTCCCTCTGCAGAGAAATCCATCAACCTGTTCCACTGTCTGAATGAACTGAATGACCGTTATTTAGTGGAGGAAATCCAGTGGTACCTGAAATCAGGAAGTCTCCACAAACGTCATCTCTCTCCTGCTCAGTTGTCAGCTCTGGTCTTCATCTTACTGTCATCAGAAAGAGAGCTGGATGTGTTTGACCTGAAACAGTATTCTGCTTCAGAGGAGGCTCTTCTGAGGCTGCTGCCTGTGGTCAAAGTCTCCAAGAGAGCTCTGTAAGTACACAGGTAGTTTGATTTATTCATCACTGAATACGCTGCTGTCTTATAGCAGAAGAGAAAAGTAAACACCTTTCTTGTCTTTTCTTTTTATTTCCTCTCCAGCCTGAGTGATTGTAACCTGTCAAAGAGAAGCTGTGAAGCTCTGTCCTCAGTTTTCAGCTCCCAGTCCTCTAGTCTGACAGAGCTGGACCTGAGTAACAACAACCTGCAGGACTCAGGAATGACACTGATCTCTGCTGGACTTGGGAGTCCACACTGTAGACTGGAGACTCTCAGGTCAAAATTCATCATCCTGTTTAAGTGATGGCAACTTAAAATTTGATTTGCTGGATAAACAGCTATCCTGTATAGGAATAGGAAAGTACCATTACTGAATATCAGTAGTACTTTCTAGACTCTAAAATCACTTTCCATGATCAATTTTCATGAAAACACACCAACTACAAAAATAAGACACAGAGGTTCCTGTGTGTTGTCTTGTGTGTGTGTGCAGGCTGTCAGGCTGTCTGATCACAGATGAAGGCTGTGCATCTCTGGCCTCAGCTCTGAGCTCCAACCCCTCCTATCTGAGAGAGTTGGACTTGAGCTACAATCATCCAGGAGCCTCAGGAGTGAAGCGTCTGTCTGATGCACTGGAGGATCCACACTGGAGACTGGACACTCTCAGGTATGGAGACCTTCTGTTTTGTGGATAAAATGTCCTAGTGAAAGCATGTGTAAGACAATGAGCAAAAAAAAAAAGGTTGTGAATGTGATTCTCTGTTGCTGGTCGTAGCTACACAAGGAGTGGGGAAACTAAGTTGGAAGAAGAATGTGCAGTGGCTAGCAGCTGACATTGTATGTAAAGCAGAGCTGAACATTGTTTAAGTTCCCACAGAGTTCAAAATTGCTTCCCATGTAGTCTGTATTCCTTATTAACAGCAGAGGAGGATACCTGAACTAAGGAACAGTGGAGTAATTACCAAGACATAACACAGCAAACTAGATGTCGTAATATGTGTGTAAATAGAAAACAACAAGGCACCAAGGATGGAGCCTTGGGGAACACCAACACTTTCCATAAGGTTGTTGCCATTACATATTGCCGGAGTTTTAAAGCCATAGTAGCTGGTGTTCCCTCATCAAATGTAATGGATCTCTCAAATGAGCTTGCTAACAGTAGAACCATGAAGGCTTGGTGGCCTGTTCAGTGGGTATATGTTTATGTTCTGGTGGTGTTAGGAGACTGGGAGATGGTGCAGCTCCACCAGCTGCTGCACCCACTTCTGCAGAGCTTGTAGAGCCGGAACAAGAGAGCTCTGTTCTCTGTGCCATTGTTTTTCCTGATCCCTAGCTTGGCTGCTCTCCCTTTTCACATCAGGTTAGGTTTGTCTTTTATGAGGTGGGAATAGAAGTCCCACACAAATTTATCTTGTAATGTAAATGTAGTCTACATAGAGTTTTTTTTTTTAGAAGATCTAGTTTTCCCACACATTGATTCACTGGGGTTGTTCACCTGCAAGTTACACTTTAAGTTAAAGCACAGCTACTGTGATTAACACTGTGCCAGTGTAAGCAGATCTTGATGCACTGTCACATTTTAATACAAAGGCTTTTGATATGTCAGAGTGAATGAAGGGATGAGGAGAGAGGGAGAAACTCAAGCTGCAGCATTAGACATAGAAACATGGAGAGAGTAAAGAAGGTGGAAATGACTGATGATTGAAACACAAAGATGGAGGAAGCAGCGAGCCAGGAGCTAATCCAGGACCAGCCCGAGTCAGCTGACAGACATGTAGGTCACAGACTGTAAGGCAGAGCCAGGTCTCTAAGACTTAGCACATCTAGATCCCAGAAGGTTTCCCAGCAGTATCAGAGCACAGCTGGTGAGAAAGGGACGGTCCAGTAACAAGCCCCAAGTTCAGGCCAACCCACTGGTCACTCACCATAGCTCTCAAAGGCCAAGTGAAAGAAGAAGCACTGACAGAAAGCCTTGTCTCAGATGAAGCTCGTGTAGCATCTTATATTCAACATTTCTCCAGCAACACACATCAGTACAGGTGTGGAGTCGCATCATTGTGGATGTGCACACAGCAGCACCACTGAAAGCAGGTCTAACACCAGAACTGATGTTCATTAGAGAATGTAAACATGTTGTCCATGCCACCTTCCTGCTACAAAGAATCACGCAAGATCCAGCTGCTGCTGTTTCTGTCTCTGCTCAGTGTGCAGCCCCACATACAAGGCTGCATCTGGACTGAGGATGAAGACAGAGTGTGGAGTCGTGTAATGTCCATGTATGCAGAGTGAAAGAGAAAGTGCTGCTCTAACCCCCCTTCTCCTTGCAGGATAGAGCCCGCTGGAGTCCAGTGGTTAACACCAGGTCTGAGGAAGTGTAAGTGTGTCTTTAATGAGATTCCTGAAAACAAAGCAGCTCACATTCATCCATCTTCAAATTGTTACATGACTCATTTAATCAGCAGACAGATAAATGACTGCGGCTGTGTTGTGTCTCGTTCTCTCCATCAGACTCCTGTCAACTCACAGTCGACAATAACACAGTGAACAGAGCAATCCAACTGTTTGACAACAACAGGAAAGTGAAATGGTTGAAGGTTCAGCCATATCCTGATCATCCAGACAGGTTTGACCACTGGAAACAGCTGTTGTGTACAACTGGTCTGACTGGTCGCTGTTACTGGGAGGTGGAATGGAGAGGAGTAGTGAGTTACAGAGGAATCAGGAGGAAAGGAGACAGTGATGACTGTGTGTTTGGAAGGAATGATCAGTCTTGGTGTTTGAGCTGCTTTGAGTATGGTGGTTACTCTGTCTGGCACAAGGGCACATTCCCCTTCTCCTCCTCTTCCTCAGTCTCCCACAAAGTTGCAGTGTATGTGGACTGTCTTGCTGGCACTTTGTCCTTCTACACAGTGTCCTCTGACACTCTGATCCACCTCCACACCTTCAACACCACATTCACTGAACCCATTTATCCTGGTTTTGGGTTCTGGCTACCTGGTTCCTCAGTGTCTCTGTGTTGAGGGTAGTCTCCTTCAAAGGTGGAAGCTTACTTTTGCTAGAAACTGAAGTGTTACCATTACATCAAAGAGGAAGTGTTTGATCTGAGGAGCAAACTTCTGTAATGACAGAAAATAAGTGTTAAGTAAAGTTTAATTATCATTAATTAAATTGTGGAATAGTCTACCTTTTAATGTTAGGTCAGCAACTGACCTCATTACTTTTAAATCATTGCTTAAAACACATTTATTTGGCTTGGCTTTTAATACACAGTAGGGCCTGATGCATTCCTTTTAATTTTAATTTATTGAACGTATGTTAACTGTGTGTCTGTGTTATTGTGCTGTTTTATTTTTATTTGCACTGATCTCATTTACTCTATTTTAGTCATTTATTGTGATTTTATTTTGCCATGTAAAGTACTTTGGTCAGCTGGATGCTGTTTTTAAAGTGCTATATAAATAAATTTGATTTGATTCTAAGTTTTTATTAATTAAGTTCAGTAATATTTTGTTTTCTTTAATAGCTTAAGAGTGTGTCAGAAGTGAGAGTTCATGCTGAGTGTCAATGTCGTCTTCTTCATAAGTCTGTTAGTTTGAGATGAGACTAGTTGAATTCCCTTATGAGGAACCCACTGGTGACCTGACCTCATCTGACGTGTGTGTGCACACTTGAACTAGATCCTGACTGAGTGTAAAGGAGTTCAGCTACAGGGAGACAGGTTTTTGATGTATGTGATGCCAGCCTTGGTAATAAAACAATCTTTCACATTGTTCAAGTTCTCATCTGTCTTTATTAAATAAGTCTGCCGTCACAACTTCCATGTTAATAACGTTCAGTCGGGTGCATTGTTGATCTTCCTTCTTAAAAGCTCTGCACAATACAATATAGACTATAAAACATTTGGGGGTTGGTTCAATCCGAAATCCGCCCCCTGTCTATGCCTTTGGGTTACACTATCTTGGTAATCACTAGTTCGATATCTGAACTAGTACTTGTATCATACATTTTATCCTTAGTGCCAAGCGAAGATAAGGTTGTGCATGTGCAGCGCATCTGAAGTGTAGAATATGATTTTAATCTGAAACATCCCCTTCCGTTTTCATCGGCGACTCCAGCTGCACGAGCAGCGCTTTGTCTCGGAGGAGGTGGAGGGAGACTGACTTGGACCGGTCTGCTTATCTCGCACAGCAGACCCTGCTGCAATAGACAGCGGGGGGGGAAGGGGAATGGTAGGGCCCCGGGGAACAGAAGGAAGCTATCGGGGGCACACACACACATCACTTTGGGATGCAGCGGGACACCGGGTGGTGACCGGGCCTGCACAGTAAGGATGGTGCACCGACAACGGAGCGGTGGATTCCTGCGGAGCCCGACACAACGCACCACAACCTCGCGCCGGAGCCGCTGCTGCATGGATAGGTGCTTCTGCCAATCTCAGTAACAACCGCTTCTACATAACAAAGAATTTTCTGACCGAGTAACAGACATACCTTGCCGCTCCATCACGCTCCACCCAATTTGCGCGATGAGACGGAGGAGTCAGCTTTGAATCGAAGCTGCGTTTCACTGTACTGGTTTCGAGGCGCATTCCACGGTTGTTTTAACAGTGAAAGAGACACGAGGAGAAAAGATGTTGGTGCGATGCTACCGGGCCAAGCTGTCGGTGTGGGCCGCTCTGTGCGTGCTGGTGCTCTGCTGGTTTTACGTCTTCCCCGTCTACAGAGTCCCCCGCGATAAAGACATAATGGAAGAGGTGCTGAGGCAGCGGGGCATATGGCAGAAGAACCAAACGGGCATTGATTTGTACAGGTTAGTCTCAGGGCTCGGATTTCTCTCCATTGTTTAAAAGCAGTGGTTCCGAAAGTGCGGCCCGGGGCCCCAGCTGTAGGTGCTTTGGGGTCCCCATTGCAGGGAGAATAGTGCATAAATTTCCCCTTTGTTTTTGTTTTATTGTGGTTGTTTTTCCATGGACCCACTCTAGAGCATACTAAAGCCCCTTTTCCACTGCCTAGTATCAGCTCAACTCTGCTGGTACAAGGTGCTTGGTTTCCCCCCCTTTGTAGCTGGTTGTCACAGCAACACCGAAACGGCCCTGAAGTCACTGGCCCATGGTGGCAGGCTCAAAGCTGTTATCATTTTCATCCTAGAACCGTTATTATGGCACTTTTATAAAATTTTGATTGTTTTTATTGACTGGTGTCATCACATGTAAACATCTGGGTTTATCAGTGGCAAGATCACCTCCTAATAATGACACATTTCTGTGATCAATTGGTAGTCTGCACTGTTTACATATCACCTTTGGTATTATTCATTTTAACTATTTCTTTTAATATTATTTATTTATTTTAAGGCGTAAGTGACCTAAAGGTTTTGATTATTCCCTACCATGCACAGTAACAGACCTTACACAGTGGGCCTTTGTCCTATCATATTCATACTAACCGTGTTCAGGCTGTCTCCAGGCCTTTCACCAGAATCCCAGCTGTCCTGTTAAATCCAATGTGTGTAAGCTTGTCCACACATCACCAGACTCCTTAACCCGCTCTCCCTTCATGTCTGTATGAAACACCCGAGGGCACTTGGCAGACAGTGAGTATTTGACTCCTGGGATGAGAATGTGTTGTGAGACCAGACCAATAATGTCTCTCACATCCTGTCTGCACAGGAAGCTGCTGACGGATTGCTGCAATCCACAGAGGATGTTTGCAGTGACCAAGGAGAACTCACCAGTGGGCAAAGTGCTGTGGTATGATGGCGAGTTTTACCACTGGCACACCGTCAACAACAAGACCTACTCACTCTTTGTGCAGGTAGGAAGGTATTAAGTATTAAGAATTACAATAAAATGAAGCTCTAATGCAAGAGGTGCTAGTTTTGCAAACTACATTGCCATTTCCTTTTTGTTGTTTAGGGATCACATGTAAAAGCATCTGAGGCTTTTGTTCTATTGCTCTACATTATAGTTGAAGGGTTTCTTTTCACCCACAAGATTCTGAATGAATTTGAGAGAGGGAGCAGTGCAAATGATGGAAGACTGTTTTCTCCCACTCAGCACAATATGGCACTGCTGTGGGTTTTAATATGGATCCTTGCTTATCCATGGTGGAGGCAGGAAGGGAGCAGCGGAGCAGACACCCTCCAAAGAGGATAGGATCACTGGTATAGTGTTGTCTTTAAAGATCCACAAACATCTGTAAAATGTACGAATGAAGGATGCAACACAAAATATGTCATCATTTTTAAGTTTTGGTCATATCTAGGATATGCATCTTTCATTTTTACTGTAAGGATGAGTGCATTAAGGCGTCTGTACAGACAGGATGTGGGATAGCTACAGCTGTACAGGTGCAGATGAGGACAGGTTTGAAGTATTTATGTATCATGTATCTCTCCTACTTTGTTACCAGAAATTAGGCTCCAGCATATCATTGTTGTGTGTCTGAGCTAGGGGTGAAGCCAAATCCAAATGCAGCATTCTGCAAAGCACAAATGGTGGGTTTTTACCTATATTTATTTTGTACAAATATTTTCAAAATTATTTTGTTTTGCCATAAGTGGGAGACAATAGGAGAGTGGAGTGGAGAGAAAGCACAGATGGAAAAGGAGCAGCACAGTCTGATTAAAATATAAGCATTAGGCAAACATAGTACATTGCTACGTCACCATTTTGTTTTGATTAAGTTCTTTTTTTAGTTTAACTGGTTTGCTGAGGAAGTTTATTTGTTTTCCTTTTGGATCTACAATATGTGAAGCACGGTTTATTTGACCAGGAGGAGGAGATTACCCTACGTTAGCTCTGGCACCATAGCTCGTTTATCTACACGCTGTAATCACTGCTCAGTCAGCCTGTGCATCCTATTGTTGCAGATATCTCAATGGACACATACGGTGCTATTCATAGATGTTCTGGCAAAGTTGCTGTGCCACTATTTCAGCAAAAGACAGATGCAGCAGAGCTTGTTTAACTTGGAGGAGAAGAGGCTAGCTGTCACCTGTTAGTCCTATAACTTAGCCTTATATTAACACTTTACTATCCTATAATTAGAAGTGTAATAAAAACAAACACTGGATTGTCATGCCTACTCCCCCTTTTATTCAAATACAAATAATTTTGCTGCCTCAGCAAACAAGTACAGGTGCAATACAGATTGGACTTTCTGTATATCCATAGTCTGAGGTAAAATAGGAATATACAGTAAATGCTGTTGTTATGGTTTTTGTGTCCAGGGGCGGTGCATCTTACTAAGGCAGGATCCCTGTTACTAATGCTACATATCTGCGGTCTAATAACCTGGTTGCTAAATGGGATGAATGTCTGACCCTTATTTGCAGGCATGAGCCATGCATGTGTAGCGGAGTTATAATTCCATTTGCCATAACCCAAATAATTTGTTGCAATGGCATTTTATTTTGTTACTCCCTCCAGAAGTGAGATGTGTGTGGTGGCAATAGACTGGGGTGCCCCTGCAAACTTGAGGGGGTGCAGCCCGTGCTGCTTCCTTATTCATGATAAGGAAGTGCGGTTCAATTGGCACCAGTCTGCCATACACTCTCACGGAGGTAAGTTGCGTTCGCATCATTGCTGCTATACTAGCATAGCATGACAGTTGGTACCTAAGTCTAAAATTGTTTTTGTTCCCTTTTAGTAATTTGAATGCCACGGAGCTAAAGTTGTTCTTGTTATATTGTCTTCTGTACCAGGTATTGTGCATTTTAATTTATTTTATACACAAACCAGTCTGCCATACACTCTCACGGAGTAATTTGAATGCCACGAAGCTAAAGTTGTTCTTATTATATTGTCTTCTGTACCAGAAATAAAGACATTTGTAGCTGAAAGATTGTCTCCAGCCGGGTTAATCACAACGCAGAGTACCTCGACATGGATGTGACGAGATCATTCCGCTACATATGCACATGGCCCCCGTTATGTTACTTTGCGTTTTTGTCCCTTCAAACCTGTTTTTGTTGTACTAGCACCTGGGCCTGCACACTTGAGTCCAACCTCAAGTCTCCCTCACCTTCCTGGTGAGGGGGGCTACCATAACACTGGCTCCATAAAGGTGTCACTCAAATCCGCCAGCTAGTAGACCACTGCCTCATCCAGGGGCACCCCAATCTATTACCACCACACACATCTCACTTCTGGAGGGAGTAACAAAATAAAATGCCATTGCAACAAATTATTTGGGTTATGGCAAATGGAATTATAACTCCGCTACACATGTTCATTCCTGAAGGATGGGGAAGGTGAATAAGTACAGAAATGAGAACATGAAGGGAGAATGTCTGAACCAGACCACAAGGGCGTGCGTGGGTTTAAGCACAGAATTTAATGTAGCGTAAATGCAAGCTCAGCCACACACTGTCCCAGTAGCATATGAATATTACATATATATGTGAGACGTTTTAAGACCGTCTTAGTGCACGTTTTCTCACACCAGGAACTTGCTGAACACAGTATAGCCAGAGAATCAAACATGAAGAGCAACGATCCCTTAATGCCCTAGAAGCGGCTACCCGCTGGACCTGGGGGTCTCTACCTCATTCCCTTATTGAGCTGATCTGTCAGAATTGGGCCAGGATCACCCTGCCATGGTCAAGCAGCTTCTAACAGACCACTCTCAGTGTATAACCTCTATAAGCCAGTCCCATGCTGTATGGTAACCATTCTATCTTTTGGGGTGTCTGTAGCTGCAATACCTCCCTGTCAGGTAGAGACAAATACTGCAACACCAGAACCTGATCACCATATAGTGGAAAGGGTCTCTTACCTTTCTGCCTGGGGGAGACCCGGATCTGGGTGAGGTGTTTGAAGAAGACAGCAGGAGAATCGGGCTAAGTTTAAAAAGTTTAACAAAAAATTCAAGAAGTTACAAAATTGATTTTCTGGGATACAAGATTAATCTGAACCAAACTAATACAATCAGAAGCTATTTTAAAGCAGGCGTACTGCCTGAAATGGTATTTAGGTGGGATGGATGATGTTCAGGCTCAAACACATAAATATTCTCAACTACCAGTGTTGTGATTGCAGGTCTGAACACAGACAACCAGCAGCTCTACACCAAGCTGGCAGCAGCTACAGCATCTGGGCTTCTGCCAGGGCATGTGCCAGATTGGGCTTTGACTGTTAATTGCTAGTTTGTTCAATGGTCCAAACAGGCCGTCCATACTAGAGTAGAGTCTTATGAGCTTATCTGATGTGACAGTCTGCAATATTGCTGTTATTCCTAATTCTCATGGCAGCCCACTCACAGGAATATTGAATCAAATCAAATCAAATTTATTTATATAGCAGAAGCATGAAGATCTGCTTTTATTATTGTTAGGTATTTTTTAGTCAGATAGAAATTGGTTAGATATTTGTTGTATTAGAAATGTTTAGTGGAGACAGGATGTCTAGGTAGGCTGTTAAATGCTTAGTCATTCTCATGAGTTTCTTGCAGGGTACACATGGTCAAGGATAACTAGATAGAAAAAGCTTGATTGTCAGCAGGCAGGATGATTATTGTTATTATTATGATATGTTTAGCCGTAATCTTAATCATAATATCTTCCTAGGCTTAATGTCCGGACATGTCCCTGAATGTCCTGTATGTTCTTAGATACACACCACATAATCAACACTCACACACATTGATTTTCTCCATGTTTTGACTACTGCTACGGTCAGCTGTGAAGCTGGCATATCAGGTGACGTCACGGTTTGACGTGCCTGTGTAGAATGGGGTTAGGCCAAACCAGATATAATGTACAGGCCTATTATGGTTCAGGGTCTTTCATTCTTCATCTGCCTGCGCGCAGGATTGGAGGTGGAAGTTACCTGGACGTGTAATGTTAATTTTACCTGTGATCCTTTGAATAAACCAGCACGGTTATTTTTTATATATCCAAGTGGTCTGCTTCGTCTCTCTGAGTTCCTGGTTAAAAGAGCTGGGAGATATCTTTCATTATGAACTGAAACTAAAAACCAGTTCAACAGCTACTAAAATGTGAGATTTGCCACTTTTCAGTTCGCTTTTGTCTTTGAAACTTCAGCTTGGGCACTAGGTATTTTTTGACATTTTATGAGCAAAAACAAAGTTTTAAAACTATGTGCTCCTGCACAGTCAAAGAGACCCTAAGGCAGTAGAGTGTGCGTTCATTCTCAAATGTTCGCTGTCTGAGGGGAATAATGACTGCAATTGTTTCCTCCTTCTTGCCTAATCCATATAAGGACATTCTGAACCCCAGTCTCATGACACATTGGGTTTCAGTGTCTTCTATACAGCTTTAATTTAGATGATGATAGGGCAGTCAAGTGATCGGAGGGTGGTCAGGGGGTGAGGGGTTGCAGGGGGTGTGTTGTAGGCATGTATGATATGGCCACATTGTGATGAGTCGAAATGAGTAGCTTCATTCATGTTTCCAGCCCATGAGTTTACATTGTGTTTTGGTTAGGTTAGCTATGCTGCTACTCTACCTTAGCACCAATTCTACCACAAGTTTGACAGCTTTGATAGATAAAAACACTGTTTAACATCCAGTACTAATGAAAATGCATGGTGTCATTACAGTGTAATAACTGTGGCCCAAATTCAACAGTAAATAGCACTGGATCCTTATGCTAACATGGCAAAGTCCTCTCCATGGGCATCCATGCCCTGATCAGCCCCCCGTAGGTCATTGGTCAATGTAGCGCCTTTGCCAGATGATGTCACCGTCCGGTGTGGTGTGGTGTGGTGCAATGAGGGTGAAAATAGCATAGAAGGACACACACAGCTCCAGTTAGAAGTTAGAAGCTAGAAAATAGTGTCTCGTCTCATTCTCGTGACCCCAGTATTGTGTATCACCTCGTCTCACAAGCTCAGTGTATCGTTACACCCCAAGTTAGCATAGTCAACTTAAAGTAGCAGATAAATGGATGAAATAGGTAACTAGAAGTAATGGTTGAAATTGTTAGCTAAAACTAGTGGAAAAATAGTTAATACATTAGTTAAAAGTAAAGTATGACTGTTCTCATCTGTGACATATGACAAATCATGTGGGCACAGTATATTTAGCTCAAAGTTCACATTTACTGAACAAATTTTGGCCTTTTAGAATTTAGGGATAGAGCACATTTCTCTTTTTTGTTTGTTGGTTTGGTTTGCTTTGTTTTGTTTTTCTTGTTTCTGTTTTTGTGTGTGTACATGTCAAGTCAAGAATCTTTACTGTCATTATGCATAGCACAACGAAATCTTTTCCAGCAGCTCTCGACTTAAAAGACAGACATATTATTTACATAACACACGATTGTATCAGTCAATATAAAAATATGAACAAATAAAAAGGGATGTATGGGACCTAATCAGGTCAGCAGCATGTTAGCAGCAAAACAGTGTAGTAACATTTTAAGGTGCAGCTCAGTGCAAATCTCAGTCTTCAGGAAGAGGTGTGAGGTCCAGTGTCTGTCCATAGGGGGACGTTGTGTGTGTGACTAGGGGCGGGGGGGTGATTGATTTCACAGCTCTGGGGAAGAAGCTGTGTCTCAGTCTGTTTGTTTTAGTCTTTATATTCCTGTACTTTTTCCTGGAAGGAAGAGGCACAAACAGACTGTTGCCTGGGTGGGTGGGGTCTGCAGCAATCCGTCTGGCCCTTCTCTGGATCCGGTCAGTGTATAGTGAGTCCAGATCCAGAAGAGGACTCCCTACGATGCCCTGAGCTGTTCTCACCACCCGGGTCAAGTCCTTTCTGTCCTGTGCAGTGCAGCTCCCGTACCACGCTGTCGCACTGAGACAGAGGATGCTCTCTACTGTCGCTCTGTAGAAGTTTGCAAGCAACTGAGAGGAGAGACCATCGCGTTTCAGCTTCCTGAGGAAGAAAAGCTTTTGCTGGGCTTTCTTCACCCGGTAGGATGTGTTCAGAGACCAGGTCAGGTCAGATGTGATGTGGATGCCCAGGAACGTGATGTTATCCACTTGCTCCACCACCATGTATTGTCTTCCTGGACCTCCTGTAATCCACTATGACTTCCTTAGTCTTGTTGGTGTTCAGGACAAGATTGTTACATGAACACCATCTTGTCAGGTGCCGGATCTCCTCTCTGTAGTGAGTCTCATCAGTGTCTGAGGTGAGACCCACTACGGTGGTGTCGTCTGCGAACTTCACTACTGGTCATGGGTAAACAGAGTGAAGAGAACTGGGCTGAGTACACAGCCCTGTGGTGTGCCTGTGTTCAGGACCAGTGTGGATGATGTGCAGCTTCTGATTCTCACCACTTGAGGCCTGTTAGTGAGGAAGTCCTTAATCCAAGCATCCCAAGTTTTGAGCAGAGGTGACACTGTACTGTCCAACCATGGTTTCTGGTTTGGAAAAACCCTGATGGACTTTGTAGGTAGGACAGCATCAGTACATAACTGCACATAGTCCAGAACAGCTGATGTATAAGCCTTCAAGTCTGAGCCCTCTTTGAACACCCCCCAGTCAGTATGCTCAAAGCAGTCCTGTAATGCCGAAGAGGCCTCCTCTGTCCACACCTTAACTGTTTTGGTGATTGGTTTTGTCCTGCAGATCAGAGGTTTATATGCTGGGATCAGCTCCACAGAGATGTGATCTGACATGCCCAGGTGTGGAGCAGCTATGGCCTTCTATGCTCCCCGGATATTGCAATAAACCTGATCCAGGATGTTGTTGTCCCTGGTTGGAAAATTGATGAATCTGTAGAATCTGGGAAACACTGCTTTAAGTTCCACATGGTTAAAGTCTCCAGCCACAATCACTGCCGCTTCTGGGTTTGCGTTCATCTCCTGCTGATCAGGCAGTACAGCTCCTCCAGTGCTAATTTAGCGTTAGCTTGTGGTGGTATATAGATGGCTACAATCAGGATCGAGCAAATCTCTCTCACCGTTTTAAAAGGTCTGCATTTCACTGCCAGATATTCCAAGTTGGGGGAGCAATGTGTTCCAGTGATGGTCGTAGCTGTGCACCAGGAGTTGTGGATGTACAGCGCCAGACCTCCACCTCTCTTGTTTAGCAGATGCTGCAGTCCTGTCTGCTCGAAACAAGGAGCGTCCCTCCAGCTCCACTGTCTGTGTGTGTGTGTCTCTTAAAATGTATGTCTGCTTATTATTTAAAAAGTTACTATATCCTCTCCTTTTTCCTCTCCTTTTTATCCAGATGCATATGTCTGTATTTAGTTTAACAAAGCATGTTGTCTTCTGCCCAGGACAACCCTCTGGATGTGCCCCTAAAGAAGTGTGCAGTGGTTGGCAACAGTGGCATTCTCCGGCACAGCAAATGTGGACGAGATATTGACCAAGCCAGCTTCATCATGCGGTGAGAAATATGGAACTCTGTGGATCTGTGATTGCAAGTGTATGCATGAGTACATTTGAGGCTGGACTGGTGTGCTTTTATTCCATCTCATTTTCTGTGTGTAAGGCACAAAGCCGGAATGGTGGGCCATTTTCGTTCCGCCTCTGGTACCACCTCCCAAGGAAACAAAGGGGAGGCTCACTCTGTGTAGAAAGGGTGAGCCTGCAGTCTGGGACCAAGTGCTACATTTTGATGATGTAATTTGTGTGCAACACTATCACCAGCATCTCAAGTCTGCATGCCTCTCTGCCTCGAACTGTTATCAGCTTCTCTCTAACTTACAGGTCAAAGCATTCCTGATGTCAGTTATTACTGCAATCAATGCATGAGTTCAGCCTGTCTGAATCACAGACTGACTCGCGGTTATACCGCCCTAAGCTTGATCTATATGAACGGCACAGGGGCAAGATATTTGCGATCCTTTGGAACGGCAGTAGTGTGAGATCTCAGTGTAAAAACGACTACACAGAGACAAAGAAATGGGCCATAGGGAGGGCAAGTGAGAAAAGTGGTTAGGTGTGAATTAGCAAAATAGGAGTAGAGTATGATGAAGGAGAAAGGGAAAATGAGCAGGAAGGCATAAAGCAGAATAAAACCATCTGGTGTAGCAGTAAAAATAATTAGCTTCAAGAAAACTAGACCCTGTGAAAAAAAAAAACCGTGGTTATGTGGAATTTTGGTAGAGTCATTTACATGCTGAAGAGCTGTGATGTAACACAAGTGATGTGTTCTTATCTCATAATGATGAGTTACTTTGTGTTTCTGTGTGTGACAGAAAAAGAAAGTGAAGAAGAAAGATGTGTTATGTAAAAGATGTTAAAATGTTTAACCATTCATAACTGATATATACGGTTTCATTACCTATGGACACTGTCTTTTCAGTTATTCAGTGATAGGATATGCTCACTCATGGGAGGGTGAGTGAGCGGAGATGGTAATCCGTGGTAGCAGTGGTGAGGAGGAGCAGGAGAGGTGTAACAAGGAAGTGGAGGAAAAGCAGGTGATAATTCAGAGAGCAAACAAAAAAACTACTAGTGACACGAGAGTAAAAACACAAAGAAGAACTGGATAAAGTGGTGCGGGTTGTCGGCATGGAAGCAGCGACGAAATGATATGTGAGCTGGGTTTAAGTAGATTGAAGGACTAAGTGAATGCAGGTGGTGTTGATTAAGGAATGTGTGGCAGGTGTGCGATGTGGCGTAATCAGGAATCGAAAACAAAGAGAGGGAGGTGAGAGAGGCAGGTGCAGCCGGGCAAACCTGATATTCAGTTGTTATTATGACTCTTTTTAATCAATTTTTCTAATTATTGAGTGTATTTTAACCATAATTGTGATGTTTTATTTGCTCAAAGTTGTTTAGAATCCTCTAAATCCATCTTCACAAATGGTTCTGATTCCTCTCTTTCCTCTTCAGGCTGTTTCTGAACTTAACATAAAATGTACATTATTCATGAGCTCCTCCTCTTATTGGCCGGAGGTGATTACTCATGTTCACCCACAGCCAATCAGAATAGGACCTAATCATAATGTAACTTGGATTGTGTTTCCTAACAAAGTAACAGTTATTTTTTTCAAACGTAACCTGAGTCAGCTAGCTTAACTTTAGCACAGCTGTTTTAATTTAGCCGAGTAGTGCTCCCTGTGCTCTCAGCATGGCATTGTGCAGAGGGTGGTTGTATCCTTGCATATTCAATTTCATGCCTGGATGTAACGTCACAACAGGCATAGTTTCAATACTACTCTCTCAAGGCTTGAAATTTAAATTTTTAAATAATTTAAAATACTGCACAGAGTAATTTAGTAATTTGGCAGCAGACAAGAACCTCTGCCTGTCACGTTTGGCGTGTACAGATGCCAAACAGAGGATGTGGTGAACTCAATTAAATAACCAGACGAACTGAGGTAACGAAAAGTTCTTTACTAGTAAACAAAACTAAGAAAAGTCCAGGATATCACTTAGGTCGATAAGACAGTCCAGGGTCGGCGCCGGTTAACAGGTATATCCAGGGGATCCAAACTCGAGGTCAA